CTGAGCCTTTATTGAAACCTCTAATAAAAAATGTCGTTCAAACGCACGAGAAGCACCACCTAGCTATCGATGTTGTAACGATACTCCATACAGCGTCAATTGAGTGAAGAGTTCAAGTAATGCTCTAATTTCCAATCATTGTTCTATTTGGCTTAAAAAAAGCTCTTCCCCCCTTTGATTATAATCTGAACCAGACCTTGTAATATCTTTCATCAAATTATGCGAGGAATTGTTTTTACGTATATAAATATACGTAAAAATACCATATATAAATATATAACTTTTAATGATATGTCAACAATATATTTTATATAAAAAGATGTCTGACATGAAACGTTACTAAACTTGAAATATATGAACATTGACAGCTTTTATCCCGAACGTTATTGACATCGTTATGAATTAATTTAGTCCGAAGAAATGAGTAAATTCATATATTATGGTTAAAATAATATTAGCTTCGGAAATGGAACAAAATTTTTCACGGCGTGATCGAGTTTTCCTTCAAATTATATCCGTGCCAATTGTATACCGTCATAATATCAAAAACTTGCTGCGCATGTTATCGTTGTTTTTGTTTGATTTTATGAGCATTACGCTTTTTTTATTCATACAAAGCATATTGAAATATTTAAAATAATATTCTTTCAGTTGTGATTTTGAAACCTAGTTTTGTAAAGTGGGACCTCGAAGCAATATATCTTGGGAAAACCCGAAAACATAATTGCAATTAAGATTTGTGGTACGATTCAGCGGGTTCGTGCGAACCCGTTATTGGAATGAACGCGTTCTTGTTTTAGACATTAAACAAATGTAACGCCGTAGTTAACGATTACGATTATATTTGGCGTTCCGTAGAACCTGTTGTTGGTGAGTCAATACAAAAGAAAACCCATTTTTAAATTTTCGAACCCAGCACTGATTAAGATTCAATAATATTTCAACTTCTCTAGGACTTATTTCTCAGTGGTATTTTTCATCTAAATCTTCAGATGAAATATTTTCGTAGGTTGTTAATTGTCAAGTAATAAAAATTTTACAAACGATCCAATAGGTGCTGTGAAGTTTCATTTGACAAATTACTATTATTCGGGGTGAGTCACCGTGAAAATAAGATTGTTTAGTTTGAAGGACATTTATCATCCCATTTCCGTGGCCGGAACATGCTTTTGCTTAGTTCCAGAAACAGATCAAATGTTCTAATAACTAAATTTGAGTGTGTTTATAACCAATATTGCAGGGGAAGATGGGGCACGCTGGGACATGGGGCACAGTGGAAAATCAGCTCTCGCACTGATACCATATGCGCAATCCTGTCCGCGGTTCGATGTTTCAATCCGCCCTCCGGTGAGTTACAACGTCCCCGCGAACGGACAACGGACGGGTAGAGCGGCGCAAGCTATGAGGTGAAATTGGTTTTGGGAGTTCGAAACTAAAATTTCACCGTTCAAGTTTTTTTTTTCTACTTTAGCCTTTCCAACATGACAAACCACCGTCAGATATTTTTCAGCTTTGGTCGACTGTAAAATATTCATAACGTTGGCGAGTGGTTTCTTTCGACCCATGGCCCAATATGGAAATATTCGATAATCAATAATATTTCCAGATTTAGATTTGAGGAAGGAAATAATTAAAATTTGTTTGCGAAATTTTTTGTCAAAATATCTGAACTGTTTCAGTTGAACATTGATTTCGAAAATTTTAAATCTTCAAATTTGAAGTCTCCCTGTTCTTTAGACGATTATGCTAATTAATTGCTTATTTTTAAGGGCATACTCCGTTGAATTTTGACAGACTGACCCATTGTGCCCCAGGGTCTGTCCGAATGTGCCCCACAAGTGGGGTACAGTGGGACACTTGACAGACGTTTTTCAAAGCATTTTGGTAGTAGGATGTGTGTCGCAAGGGAATTTCTTAGTCGCTGAATAAAAACTACATTTACCCCACTATGCATTAGTCCCGCCAACTTAACTTTTTATCACCAGGTGTACCCAAACAAAACGTTGTAGCTCATGATTATCTTCAATATCAGGTCTCTCATCAACAAGTTCCAGTCAGTCATTTGCTTAATTTGTAATAAAAAATATCGAGTTAAAATAAACTCAAAATGGACCAAGACCAAGAAGAGCCGAAATTCGGGCACAATGGAGAGTAAATTGCCTTTCCCCTCAAACTGGTCGTTATTCAGTGATATTGCATGTATTGATCCAAACTTTTCAACTAGTATTGCATTGTATTTTGCAAATTCGAGTCCGTATACACCAAATCAGTGGGCGCTTTGTCTATGATTCATGTTTTTTTGAAGAGAAATTATAACAGTTCGATGAATGAAATCTATCCATCTTGATTTTTCTCAATACCGATGGGCCAATTATAGAGTGCCTTTTATTTATTTTCAAAAATAGCACATTGCTCGCTTGTACGTATTATGCTATAAAATGTAACCTATTACCTAATCGATTCCCCTACTAGTTTAGACCCGTTTTATGGTGGCCATCCGTTATTACCCGTTGCATATTCATTTATAAATAGGTGAGGTTTAGAACATGAATATTTTCTTAGATATTTGTACCAGTGTATGAACAATTGTTACATTGATGACAAAATAATTTTAATGACGAAACTAGGGATGATAATCTGTAACATCTTTCGAATTTTGAACAAACATACTTTTTCATACTAGACCTAAACCAGGAAAAATTTTAGGCGTTTTTTGATATTGAGATGTGACTTTAAAACAAAGTAAGGCCAGACATATTCAAATAAGAGAAAATTGTTTGCGAAACATCTAACCTTCCAGGGCCATATAGTTCCGTTTGGTATCCATGTCTTTCAGTTGCGTTTCGTTCTTCATATATAGCAGAAGGAAATGAAATATTTTGATTTTCGAATTCCGGTTCTTCTTTGAACGACATTTTCTGTCTTTGAAGTAGTCTTTTTCTAAAGCTTCCGGTTTTTGAATGCATACCACCATCACGATTGGAGACCACACGGGTGGTTTGTTGTTGTATAGATGTTATAGATTCCATTTTAACATATTATAGTAATTAGACGCATCAGATGAATGCGCTATCAAATTTAACTTTCGATCAATATATCTCGAAACAATATGAGCTAAGAGGTCACTGATGACACACTTTTTTATACAACCACGAATTTCCCTACAATTTGCATTTACGTGGTTTTTAAGTATATAAAAAAAATATATAAAGTTACAACACATTTTATCTAATGAAACAATATTCTTTTCTTTTATTCGCGAACTTTTCAAAGTTATTTGCTATTATACTGAATATATAGTACGTTGTCGAGTTTGAGGAAATGTTAGGTATAGTCATAACATAAGGTGATTATTAGTCACTAATCAGCTACATTCAAAAGGCGGTAGACATAAACGGTAAAGTGTTGAAGGTACCGACTAGGTAATTTTCATATGTTAGTACTCTAGATATAAACTCTGCATAAGTAACAATTCAATTAGTATATATGTATATGTCAAAACATATTTAAACTTCACCTGCTGTGTACCAGTATATCATAATCCTAATTGTTCATTAAAACACATAAAGACACAAATCTTTGAAAAGGTATGGTTTTTAATAGACTAATACTCAAAAAAATTCTGAATTCGGGTAAATT